TATTTGAAAATGCCTAGGTAAAAACCTATACGACAGAAGTGTTTCACGTTAAGTTACCACCACAAATTGTCAGAATTCGCAGATCGTATGCAGTCGTCTGCTCTGCCGATCGCCTTTTGCTCCTTCGTTCGTCCTTTTTCAGCATCATTGTGACATAATACCCGAAATACATATATGTGACTCCATTGTACGCCTCACTTGCCAATCCTGTAGAATTCCTAACAACTTGAACCTGCCAATATACTGTCATGCCTCATGTAGCTTTTTATTATTTGACTATAAATTATGACCACTGTTACTATTGTTCGAAAATAAATTAGAGGCTATTTTGTGTTACCTGGATCCATCTACAGTCAAGAAAAGGAGTATATTTGACAAACTGGCGAGTTTTCATCGATTGTCTACACCAAATTATGCTGCACACATAAGACCACTATAAGATTACGTTTATAGGAATGGGAAAATCATCGAGTTTGATAACGGTGCATTAAAGAGATTTTCAACAGTGAAAGACATCTTTAAGTCAACTGTGCCTGCATACTACAACACCGAAGTCGTCATCGGCACCGCCGTAGACACATTCAACTTAGCGATCGCAGTCTTGCGACAGTGAATAGACGAAACTTGAAAACTCTCGGTATTCGTATTTGGATTGGTGGGCGACAGTGAATCGATGTATGGGAGTTTCGGAAAGGAGCTCTCAGACATCCGTTGCGCTGCACAAGACTTTTAGCACTCTTTTGAAAACCTAGAATTCGCTCTTTCTGCTGACCATCCACCTCTAACCTTTCCGCTTGACATATCTTAGGACAAGTATTCTCCTTCAGTGATCAGACGACCGGAGTACATCATGCAGTTCACTTCACATACACAAAATATTACTGTGGCGATTAATATATATATATATATATATATATATATATATATATATATAAACATTTTTAAACTCGTCAGCTCTAAAAAGAAGACAGTGATCTTCAGCATCATTCATCATCGACAAACCTAAAATAAAAATCAAACAGATAGTAACTGTTAAAACACCTATACTGCATGACACAGTTACTAATAGGGATCGGTCGACTGTGTCCAAACGTCACTGTACGAATGTCTAGCATATAGGGCGCAAACTGTCTTATCTATGTGTTTTGATAACCACCAAGTTTATAACAGAACGATTTTTCTGACCTAGCATCAATAAAGACGTGCGAGAATGTATATGCTCCCATGTGAGTTGCCAAAGTTTAAATGTAACCAGACAAAATAAATGTCGTTTATGTTTTTTGCAACTGGGGCTTTCTCCGATCACATCCATCGTGATTTATTATGACCGTTACCAGTATAAAATAGATACCATTAGTTCGAAATGGATTAGCCGATACTGAATTTAATATAGCCAAACTAATAAAATTCTGTGTTTTGTTTAATCCCCTCCTCAATAGCTGGAGGCCTGATTACATGTCAGTTCTACCTCTTCCTGCCATCTAGAAGATGAGAATGATTTATTCTCAATAACTATAAGTTACGTGGTAATTTGAAGGCAAGATCAAATTGTTGTGTTATATATTTCGTTAGGCCTATTGGCGCATTTTTTGGCGCATTATAACAAAAATTCCACTGCAGATGCAGGATGAAAAAGGTTGATGAACTGAGATTGAATTGTATAGCCCAAAAGATGAATGCTGCATTGAAATGAAAGACTGTTCATTGGTTTTTCGACGAGTTATCTTTTTTGTGTGTTGTAACACATTATTATGTTCATTCATCACGAAACCTATTCAGGTGCATAAATTAAAAGTTTACAACCAACCACTTTGCTGAGTACAAAAATGTACAATCAGATACATCGTGTTTGTTGACAATGTGCTTTGAAAAGAATGAACTTCGATCATATGTCGATTCCTGCAGATCGTTGATTTGCAAGGTTGACTATTTTCAATTCCTACCAAGTCTAAACTTGCATTGCAATGGTGAGGTTATCACATCTCAAGAATCCTACTATCAAACACTTAAGCTTTTCTCAAGATAGTGGAAAACCTATTGCTACCTCTACTTCAACCTGCACTAAACGAACACATTGATCCATATCGGTTTGTTTACAAAATGCAAAAGAAGCACCTTGGATGCTGCTGTTGTTCTTAATCACCTTGTAGTACTCTGTTTGGGAAAGGGTAAGAAGTATTTCGATGCACGTCTCAATACTATACTTCTGCTCTATTTCAAGACCATGACTACTTAGCACGTTTGTCGGCGTCAACACTAACATCTGGATATACAACATCCATAGTCGTCACCGCTATCATTGATGGGTACATAACATTGGATAACATCTGTTGTTATTCCCTTCTTTGTTTTGAAGGATGCTTTATGATTCTGGATCGGTAAGATTATCATCCAATAAGTGCATTATGTGCTTCTCTGGACAATATCAGAGCAACTCCCTGAGTGTATCAAGCATTTTCCTTTTCGTGACCGGAATACATCAGCATCTCTCCAGTATATAGCTTTTGCTGTCCAGCTTGTGTCCAATGGATTTTGCTGATTTTGAGAACCGCCAAGTTGTATCTCCTTAATTCCGTTACCATTTGACTGGAACTCCCGATCTTCCACATTGTCAATACGTTCCGTACACCTATAAAAGTTGTTGCTCTGGTTGCTAGAAGGGACATCGACCTCGTGGCTCAGTGGCAACATTGTAGTGTCGGTTATTATGTTAAGACCATATACCTTAGTCTAGCTTTCGGATAGCCCATTCTATTCATTCTACTTGAGTCACATTCTGACCTTGTTAATTATTTGCCTATCAATCTTGACCGTTTTATATGATTGCATGTATGTGTACACTTCTTACCCCATTACTCATCACATGTACGGACACCCTCATACCATGCTCAATGAATGACGCAGTACATTTTGTTGATACTGTAGATCACCAAAGTGGATGATCTATGTCGAATGATTGAAGGCCTACTTCAGCTAGACAGGAATGGTGTGACGAACCAGCTAACTTTGAAGTCACACTTTGCGGTCATCATCTAACTTGGATTACCCCTTCAACGTATCAAAGCACTATGGCTGCTTTGAAGACCGTATAACACAAAGGACTTTATAAAGGAAATATATTGGCAGAAAAATACGAGCACACTATGATACCACTTGTCCAACTCAAGCTCTTGATGCTCAACAACACAGATCAGTGGAGAAACATCTCGATAAACAACATGGGGCTCAAAAGCAATTGATCGCTGGGGTCTAAACGTGCTTTCTATGGATCATCGTGCTAAATATTCTGCATGGATAGTTATTCAAATAGTCACCAATTAAATAGATGGTATTCAAAATTCAAATACTGAAAGTCCTCTGCATCTGTTTGGAGGATTCCACTTCCTTAAGGAGGAAGTAATATATGTTATATTCATGGTTGTGGTACACTATAGCTAGTTTAATGTTTTTCCTTCAACATGCCAGTCGAAATATCACGGACTCATAAGCTTCCGAGACGTGTTACAGTGTCTTACCAAGTCGGATGGTTGAATTTAATGGCAACACTATCATTACAACTCGGTCTAATTGTTCTACAGAGTGGAAACCCCATCAGTTATATTTCACTTTCATGCCAGCCATGTTCTCGAGATTGTGAATACAGCTGTTAGATTACATGGTAAACTGTTGGCTGTGAATGAGTTTAGAGTATTAAATCAAGAATACTAGAGCTATCCTATCATCCAAATACTGTGAACAGTTGAGCGCAAATCAAACGTAAATAATTTGTCGTCTCAATCTAACTAATTTAAATGGCCACTAAAATACCTTTCAGTTAATCACTCCTCACACCGTAGCACCACGGTGACGAATAATCACGACTAAATCATGGTCTGCCACCAAGAGAGAACCGATTTCACATCCATCAGCTTGAATGACAACAGCAACGTATCATGTGTCAGTTGTGTCACTAGGTTATGCCCACTCGTTTATCAGGTTAGAAGCATTGATGCAACGAAAAATTAGTTCTATTTGATGTTAACCCACTCAAGGATAGTTTAAGTCCGAGACTTAGGGAAATGGTACGCAGTCACACCCGAAACCGTGTATTTCGATTTCTGAAAACCGTCATTTAATGCTGTCAGAGAGACTAATATTGAGGCGGAAATATATTTCCAACCCATTAGGCTTGTGAATGTCTCCTAATCATAAATCATAACCCATAACAGACGTGTGAAAAATCAAACACCATTACAAACAACAGACCATAGAGAGCAAGCGTCTACTACTTCATTTACAACATTTAAGGGAGCTTAAAAATTTCCCACCGTCTGGCGAATTATTAACCACTCCTACCATAGAACATGAAGATGTCACATATATTCAGGGTTTGACGACCATTTTGTCGTTATTACCTTCATAACTGAAGAATGCCAGCCCAGTCAAACTAAAAGTCAAGAATGAACGAGTTTGAAGACATACTTGGATGGTTGCCGATATGTCGAGAAGCGTTTGATCTAAGCTGGCTGATAGTTGCAAAGGATATGTATCACTGTGTCGCACCCACTCGTGATCTGGTGTGGAATTTATGGTCGGACGCCTTCAGCTAAGGTGTGTCCAGTAAAATTAATGGGGTCAGCATTGAACTTGAAGACCTAAAGAGCTACATATTCTGGGGATTTATTTGCTACTACAAACGCGATATAACCATATATTAATTAGCATTAAGTATCTTAAGTAATGAACTGGGCAATAACATGTCTCATCTATTTGTATTCTTTGAAAACAAACTTCCATGACACTATAAGAAGGTTCATAAACTGCTATCAAATAAGCTGGGAACGGGATTCTGTTTTCTTCATCGAGTGATCGACGAATAAGATGCCCTACATGAATAACTGATTTTAACCTCAACACTTTTTTCGAGAAGGAAATTCGGTTATGTTGTGAAAAAGCTGAAAGAACCAACACAGGTCACTTAAAATACTATTTTTATTGCTGAAGATTAAAGGTTGAGATATTGAAAATACGACGGCTATTCAAAAAGTGAGTTACCATGTGTATTTGAAGGTAAACTTCCTACTGAATTATTGCAGTTATTTCACGCCTTAAGTAATGTAAAGTTGACGTATTTCATACTTATGTATATAAACCTAAACAGCTCTCAATTTGAAAGTGATCTGGGAATGTTGATACGCTATCTAAAAAGGACAGTGGTATTGTTTCTCGTTAAATTAGTATACTGTTTTGATCGTAAATTACGTATCAAAACTACGATTTACACTTTAATTGAATCTACTCCAGTTAAGGTGATATTTTACTGAGTTTTTTTGGCTTTTGTGTATTTATTACACTCCGAAGCATTCTTGGTCGTTATCAAAGTACTTTAGTTAAGGTTTGACATCTTGCTAGAGTTGTCTTGTCGTTCATATTGTGATCATATTGGTGTTACACCTTGATCATACTAAAATGGTTGGTAGTACCCACAAATGTGGACAACCAAACTGCTTGTTCCCTGTGGAGGAGGGAATGCAGTGTGACGAATGCAATAAATGGTTCCACAAAATGTGCACCCGTTTAAGTCCCACTGCATATAAAAGATGTTCGAAGCCTAACTCACATTGGCTTTGCATGTTTTGCTGTGCCAACAAGGCATTGCTAATACAGGAGGCTATGAGCCTATTGGCTTTGGCCTGTAAGAAGAATGATGGCATATGTGCCGACAACACGGGCACTGACAGTGACGAATGTGTCAGTGTTGTTACGCAACGCCTCAAAAAACCGACTCTGAACGACGCAAAAGTGAAATCTCCGTTGATATTAACAGGGGGAGTAGTACCACCTAGTACTGATATTGTAAATCATGCACCTTTAGTGGGCACCGACGATCTGGATAAAACAGTCACCGTTCCAAATAGTCCCAGTGTTACTAGGGATGAAAAATGGACTACGGTACGTAGAAAACGAAATGAAAAGAAAAAAGCTGTAAACAGTACACAGGTAGTTAGTAACTCAATGGTGGACTCAAATTGTGAGCCACAAGTTGCACTACCAAGATCTGATCGTAAGAGTGAAACCCATCCTGGCGTAACTGAGAAGAAAAATCTAATAACATCGAATATTATTGTGAGCAAATTGCGGGAGTCAAGTGACCCTGATCCGAAAGTTAGACACGCGCATAACTTAGAAAAGCTAGGAGAATACATTCGTAGTATTTTACCAGATAACTCCAAAGGAGTTCAGGTTAAAAAGTTAGTAAGAATAGGCAAGAGGACCGAGGACAATGTTGAACCCCGTCCATGCAGACTCCTTAAGGTAATCCTAGGATCGGAGAAGCAACGGGATCTCTTGTTAAGTAGCGCTCGTTGTCACGACAATTCTGACATCCGAGTTAGGCCTGATATATCTCTCGAAGATAGAATAAAAAGGAAGAAAGCACTAGCTGAACTTGAAACCCGTCGGCAAAACGGCGAGGAAAATCTCCGGTTAGTGGGTTTTCGGATAGTCAGGTCTTGGAAGCGAATGCTACCAAGGCCTGTGTGGATAGGCTGTTCTACTTAGGAGTTTTATATGCCAACGCTCGTAGTCTACGAAATAAGTTCTATGAACTAGAAGCACTAGTGGACAGGGTAAAGCCACTCATAGTAGCAGTGACAGAAACTTGGTTAGTCGATGACTTAGACATTACTCCAGAATTATCCGGATATCACTGCATCAGGAGTGACAGACATAGATGTAGGAAAGGAGGCGGCGTCCTGTTATACATAGCTAATAGCATAAATATCCGCTCCTCTACTAGAGATTCCCATGATAGCGGTACTTGTGAAGTCATTAGCTGTAAGTTGGCTATCGGATGTAGTACATTTATGCTCGGTGTCATCTATCGCAGCCCAATCTGCCTAGCTGATGACTTTGTTTTAGAGCACATTCATCTTTGGAGTGAAAATACCAGATGTTTGATAATAGGAGACTTTAACGCACCTGATATTAGTTGGACTGATATGACCACAGCAGGATCTATAAACTCCTTTGATAGTAAGTTCCTGATAACAATAATGGAGCATGCACTAGTACAGCATGTATCCCAACCCACACGTTTTGGTGTTAACCAGGGTTCTTCTCTGCTGGATTTGGTAATCACTCATGAGACTGAGGATATTGTCGACTTCAATATTCTCCCGCCGTTAGTGAACAGCGACCACGCTGTTTTGTCATTCACGTTTCGTACTAGGGACATGTTATACGATCAGGTTACACCTCGCCCAAATGTATGGAAAGCTAACATATCAGCCATTCAGGAATGTGCTGTTAAGACAAATTGGTTAGTAGATACTAGCATATCAGTTGAAGAAGCATGGTCTGTATTTAAAGGTAAATTTAGACTAGTCACGTCCCCGTTCATACCATACCTGGTACCGCGAAGACCGAATAATAGTCCACCATGGATAACTAAAACGGTCAGGAAACTCCTTAGAAAAAGGAAGAATCACTGGGATATGTTCATCTCTACTGGCTTAGAACAATACAGATCCAGTTATTGTAAGATTAGGAATGCCTGTAAAGCGTTAATAAGTAAGACTAGACTATCATACGAAAAACAATTGGTTAGGGATTCTAGATATAGTCCGAAACGGTTATTCTCGTATATAAAAAGGCGAACTAAGAGAAGTGATGGAATTCCATCACTTTTGATACGAGAAAATCCGTTAATCTTAGCAGACAATGATGCCGAAAAAGTTGAAGCATTATCGGAATACTTTAGTAAAGTGTTTTCTATCGGTAATGAGGAACGACCAATGATTCGTTGCGACCGTGACGGCTCGCTGATGGATCCTGTAGTCATTGAGAAAGATACTGTTTTAAGGCTACTCCAACATCTCAAACCTGATAAGTCCAGTGGTCCTGACGATATTCATCCTAGGATTATGAAAGCCATTTCACATGAAATTGCTGAACCATTAGCGATACTATTCGACATGTCTCTGAGACAGTCCAAACTGCCTAGAGACTGGAAAGACGCCATAATAAGTCCGGTGTATAAGGCTGGGGGTAGGGATTTAGTTAGTAACTATAGACCCGTTAGCTTAACTAGTGCAGTTGTAAAACTGATGGAGAAAATCATTCGGATAGCTGTCATAAACTATGTTGAAGGGCAAAATCTTTTCTCCAGGGAACAACATGGTTTTCGGAAAGGCCTATCTTGCTTGACAAATCTTCTCATTGCACGAGAAGATTGGGCTGCGGCAAAGGATCGGAATACTCCTGTGGATGTGATTTTCATAGATCTAAGTAAAGCCTTTGATAAGGTTTCCCACTCTGGTCTTAAATTCAAACTGAAACGTTTTGGAATCCATTATACAGTCGTCGATTGGATAAGTAACTTTCTCCATGACAGGAGACAAAGGGTAAGGGTTAATGGGACTCTCTCCTCGTGGGTACCTGTAAAAAGTGGGGTTCCCCAAGGTACAATCCTGGGTCCTCTTCTCTTTTTACTTTATGTAAATGAATTGCCAACTGTAGCAAAATCATCCGTTCTACTCTTCGCTGATGACATAAAGATTTGGAGACCCATACATAGTATGTCGGATAGGATAGTATTACAGGACGATCTTAGCTCATTGGTGGCATGGTTAGATAGGTGGTCACTAGAAGTAAATCCTAATAAGAGTGTAGTGATGCAGTTAAATAACTCTGATGAGTCGTATGACTATACGCTACGTGGATTCGTGCTACCAAAAGTAAGAAACTATAAAGATTTAGGAGTCATATTAAGCAATGATCTCAAAACGACTGGTCACTGTAAGGCTGCTGCTGCGAAAGGCTATAGGGTATTATGGTCAATTCGTAGGTCTTTCCAGTATTTAGATGATGAAATGTTTAGATTACTATACCCGATTTATGTGCGACCACATTTAGAATACGGGATTCAAGCAGCGTGTCCTTGTTTCAAATATGAAGCAGATATGCTAGAAAGAGTCCAACGACGAGCTACTAAGATGGTACAAGGTCTATCTGGCCTATCTTATGAAGACAGACTGAGACACCTTAACTTATTTCCGTTATCTTACCGTAGAATAAGGGGTGATCTAATATTGGCCTATCGTATACTGAACGATGACCTTGGTATTAACATGTCTTATCTTTTGCTCCCGTCTAGAACCGATCATTTGAGAGGACATTCGAAGAAAGTTCAAAAACCGAGATCAAACCGTTTACGTCTGGAGTTCCGTTTCTCGCACCGAGTAGTGAATTACTGGAATTCTCTACCGGAACACGTAATATCAGCACCATCTGTTAATATATTCAAAACGAGATTGGACCTCCACTGTATTACAAACTGCAAGGATTAATATAGGTCGACAGACCTCCTATCCTTATTACTGAAGACTGAAGATATAAAGTTTCGCGTTAACTGTACAAAAATGCCTTTTGAGCCAACCTTGTACTGGTGATATTTGAGTGCATTTTTAGACAGTTTGACGGTAAAACTTTCCACTTAATCTTTAACAGTTTTATCCGACTGCATTTAGAGTATGGAAATAGTATTTCCTCACTCTAAAAGGATAAGGGTACACTGGAACGTATCCGATGGAGCCACGATATCAGTCCGGGGAATCGAATCCAAGCCCTATGAAGAGCGCATCAAGCCACGAGACCGTTACTCATTAGATTATAGGCATCTCAGAGTTTACCTAATAACCTACAACATCCTAAACTTCTCTGGGATCCCTTTAAATACCTACCTATGCTCAGTCCCAACACAAACGTTAGGGATAATACCTAGAAACTGGAAGCCCAACATAGCAAAACGGACTGCAGGTATACCTTTTACTCCTTAGGAGCGGTCAAATGCTGTCATTAGCTGCTTGTCGATTTGGGCACCCGGGCAATATCCCGACCGTCTCTTACTTACGAAATAAAACTGTAAGTTTAAACCATCGCAATAAAAATACTTGGTACTTTTAATTTTGAATTCCAACTTCATTACATTCAAATGCCGTAGTCAACATGTAGAGGTTCAAATATCTCTACTTCAAAGCCACAGTGCTGTTTGACCATTCTGTTTTTTTCACGTACATGGTCTCAATCAAACAAAAAGGAGGAAATAAAGGAAAATTTTCAAAATAAGTTCCCGCTTTTTACCTACAATGGGCAAAAAGAAGACATTTTTCTAAAGTATTACGCGTCACTGGGAAAGGTAGACTTCACCTCAATACACATCAGGTTTATTTATTTATTTGAACACAAATATTGGTACAAGGAGGCACTAGATACATATGAGCCTTTACTTTCCTATTTTTTTGCTTTGGGTCTATCGAAACCATTATATGGCCTATCGCAAATGCGTGTCAACCCCAGTTATCGAATTAGCGCAATGTGAATACTGAAATTGGTCCGAATAGTAGTAGAATCAATGATGAGAATCTTTTCCATCACTCTTTATTTGCCCATAATTTTTCTCCCTCTTGTTTTCCATTGTTGGCATTATTATTTCCGTCCTTTTGATATCTTCCCGTAATAGTAAATCAAGATTATTTGGAATAGTATGCATTTATATTGGACTATACTGTTTGTTTTGTGTTAGGTCATAGTTTTTATTTTTCTCATCTGATTTGTAGTTTACCTTTCGAATAACTAATCTATGTATTCGTAATTTCAGACGTAATGATTCAAGAATCGACATCTGTTTGTGTTGTTTTTAGTGGGAAAAGAAAATCAGGCAAAGATTATACTGTTAATCGTCTGACTAATCTGCTCCAATTTAATCATCTTTCTTGTTTAGTAGTACGAATAAGTGAACCAATTAAATCGTATTTCGCTGAGCATTATGGATTGGACTTGTCCGAATTATTATCCTCAAACGAATATAAAGAAAAATATCGAAAACAAATGATTGATTGGATGGAACAAGAAATTAAGCAAGATCCTTATATATTCACCCGGAAATCATTGCTTGAAAGTATTAGACGATGTGGGATACCTCATCCTGATATTATTATTATTTCAGATGCCAGAAGGACAAATGATGTGGAGTATCTCATCAGGACATTTGGTCGATCCAAATGTTTGTTAATACGTATTGTCACACCTATAGAAGTTAGAATCGAACGGGGTTGGTCATATGTTGATGGGGTTGATAATGCTATGTCCGAGTGTGGATTAGATGAATTCACTTGTTGGGATTACATTTTGTCCAATGATGGAGACGAAAGTGCATTTAAAAACCATTTAAACGATATTGTTGCACTCATTAAAGAATTGCGAAAATGATCCTAATGCTTATTATGCAGTCATTGATAATAATGTTTTATGCAAGTGTAGTCGTTTACGTTGTATGGACACTTTCAACAGGCGTTTACTGCAACAATGCTGAGACGTCCTTTTGAGCACTGTCGCAACTGGACGAGTTTACTTCTCATATGATCATTATTCTGGCTACAAATTACCAGATTGTTTGATAAATAAACCTTGTTTGGTTATTGGAAATTGGATACTGATCTACTTCAGAAAATCCCAGTTGACTCAGGTCTAGATTTATCTATTTATGAGCTTGTTCCTGCATAACTCATGGGATCTGACTTTAAAACCCTCACGGTTAAATATATATTCAGTGTACATCAGATAGTAAATATCTTCATTTTTAGTAAAAGCAATTTCTTTCCTGAGTATGTCACTGATCATTTTCATAATATATTTTTATAGACATATTCTTTTTGTACTATTGAGACTATAATATTTGCCGTAGATCCAACTTCGTTAATGCTTATTCTAAAAAAATGTTAAATTCAAACGAATTCACCATAAATAATGGCTGGTTAACCGTACATAACACGTCCCAACCGCCTCAGTTGATGAACATATACAACCTCGTTAAATCTGTCCTCCAACTTGTATTTAGCCAACTACTACATTTATATTTTATGGAGTTATACAATGCGGTAGTAACCTGTTGCTTAGTTTCAGATTCCGCAACACAGGCTTTATACTTGAGTCTCTCCTAGGAACTATTAATTTATTAATAGACTTTTCCCAATTAGTGGTGTTGTTTAGGTGATGGTGTAGCCGTTTTTGTATTGTTTGTTCGAATCTTCCCATTGATGTTTAGGGTTGCAATTAGTCAGTTTCTTATTGGTATATGTTTGGGGCGAACGGTACTGTATTCGAGTCCTGGTGTGAACATCAACTCTAGGATGCAAGTACATCCAGCCGACGAGTTTCAAATAGGTCAAAATGCACGTCCTGGATCCCATTGCTATCCACCATCCATCTTTGTTTACAATAGTGTAACCACTTGTTACGATTAGACTATGTTCTATCCAGTACACTTCATTAATATATCTTTAGGTAGAATTCTCATATTGTTCTTAATTATACGTTTAAAATTCCTTCGTAGTACTTGCACTACCTAGTCGAATCATTTCAAAAGATGAGAAAATAAAGTATTCATTTGGGTTATCACATTATTTAATAATCCAACTCAGAGTAAATCGCGAATTTGTTTTGAATTAACTGCAACTCATTTGCTGAGCACAGGTTGTGTATTCAGCTTTGAGCAGGGCTTTCTATTTAAGAGTTTTTGTTACTATTCTGTTACCCAGACTAAAGTAACTGGAATGAATTTTGAAACCTAGATAGTGCTGATTGTAAAAAGGCTGTATGGAACAAAAGACAGTAATACATTAAGGAAGCAGTTTCTAAAGAACAGCCATCTGTACTGATCGATGCATTTAATCATCTGGCTTAAAGAATTCACCACTACGGAATCTAAATTGTAAAAGAATTCCATTTTCGTTAGTTTGGCTATTAGTCTTGTTATAAAGGAGTTTACGGTTTATTAACATTTGATGTATAGATAAGCAGCAAACAACTGATCAAAAGTAGTGTCACACTGACTTTTCTAAATGTGGAAAAATCATTTTCACCCATCAGTATCACAAGTGACGTCGGCTACAGTCGATGCCTTCACCTTAGCTGACAATGACACCAATCATGACGATAAGCACAGTTCCTGTAGTGCAAGCACATTCTCGTCAGGTATTCTCTTTGTTGCTGTAGTTATGTCCAGTATTCTTTCTGGGCTATAGTAGTTCAAATTTTTATCTAGTAAGTAGTATAATGATGGTGGATCAATAATAGTATGAAGGCTAATATATCTCCAAGTTGACATATACTGCGATATAAGATAAAAAATATCTGTTCAGCAAGGAGTTCTTTTTTCAGTTAATTTGTTCCTAAAGCTGAAACATGCTTTATTCACAATAATAATCAGTGACATTATTCATGAAAACAATTTACTCGCCATATTGACAGTGCAGCAAGTGTTTATTGTTAATTTATATATATATATATATATATATTTATATATATATATATATATATATATATATATATATATATATATATATATATATATATATATATATATATATATATATATATATATATATATATACATTAAGAATGTCATTAAAGTTAGTTAATGATTAGTAATTGTAAAAGTGAGTTATGCAATGATAAAAGAAAAATACTGGAATGGGGTGTAACGAGGAGTTATGTGGAAACAAAAATAATCCGTAGTTCAAATCGTGAACCGATCTTAGACCATCATTGTAAATCAAAAAGCACTGGACAGCTGTTTCGTCATAGTACGAGACAGCAGTGTATACCCACGACTCCACAACCCGAAAGTCTTGGGTTCGGTACCTTGTGGTCTAATTAAAATCGGTTTATTATTTGAACTACGGAAGCTCTATAATCTCCACTTTTTAATTGAAGTAATCCACTTCCTGTTAAAAGTTCAATAAAGTAGTGGAACGGTGGAGGTTAAGATCATCGTAATAGAAGTCCTGATAGGTATCTTTTGTCTGAATAGTTTTTAGATTCATGAGAAAAGCTTCAATAATCCATAGAAGACAGAATTTCAGTGTTTCTATACGCTATATCGGTCATGTGGCCATGTGAGAGCATTGGAAGAGTGGGAGCTAACTCTTAGTATTTAGCATGCTTCAGTAGAGTTTTATTAATTTAGGCACAGATTTTGGTTAGTAAAACGCACTGACAAAACTGTTCATTTTATTTTATTCAGTAAAACTCAATGAGACATGTTTACTCAAACTGTGGAAGTATCAGCTTGTTCGAATACTTTGTCACAACATTCCTTCCGATTTGCTTTAACCAAGTATTTATGTATGTCAACTGAGTAATTTAACTCACGTGGAATGACCTATTTCCGTATTAAATACTGAGATCAAAAACATTATCCTATTATAGTATGTTTTCTGGCTAATCCAAACTCGATTTATGTACATTAAGAAAAATACAACATATGTAATTAGATTTAAAATGTTTTAAGGGGGTAAACTAACCAAAAGCCTTTTGGAGTTATAAATACAGAATGCTTAAACACTGTTTTAAAGACATCATTAAATATGCATGTATATTTGAAACTTTTCTACTAAAATTTAAATTACGAGAAAGAATTTATAGTAGTCCATATTTTACTGATAAAAATTCCCGAATGTACACTAGTGAATATTGTCAGAATGAAGATTTGTGGAGATTGTAGTAGTTTTAGTAGTTGGATTCATGAGTCAATGTAAGCTAGACCACTATTGAAAATCTGGAAGTACTGGACGGCCATTTTGTTCTAGTATGGGACTCCTCAACAGTGCGCATTCACGATCCCGAACACGGAACTCTAACCCATGACCTTTTTTCTCACTCAAACGCTTAACTTGTAGACCACTGAGCAGCCTCAGTCAGTTTTAATGTCTAACTTCAATCGATTCATGATCTTGTGGTGATCTAGCTTAAATTGACTCATGAATTCAACTATTAAAAGTTATTATTACCAGATACGAGTGAAATTTGTAAATCAAGTTTCTAAATAAAATACAGCCCTTCACCGTTACTTAAGACAACTAAAGTTTAACAGGAACTTGATTCATTGTCTAATTCAAACTGACAGCCTCAGAATAGCCAACCGAAGTTATTTTGCCAATATATCTCAGTATTCGTTTATTCAATCAATATGAGATTTATTTCCACAGATGTGTAGTGGAAATTTTCATCGATTACATTTATTCATAAGGACTAAATTTATGATGAAAGAGAAAGGGTTGAATAAATCCTAATCTAAAGAAACTCTTCATTAAGTAATTACTTATCATGATTTAAGCGTACACGCAATAGACGTATTTATTAATGTATGTAAGTTTTGCTTGTTTCATTTATAAATATACTACACCTAAGATAACATGCAAAAACCAACATTATTGTCATTATTATTATTATTGTGACAAACTTAAATAGAAATCATAATAATGATATCCAGAAAGAATGAAAGAGACTGCATCCAGTTCTTTAAAGTATTACATTTCATCAACAATATTCCGAATCACCAAGTATTTTTTTCCTTTTTAACAATTCATTATTAAAATTTATTGCTTATTTAAAAAAGAAGGAAAATTTTAATGATAAAGTGACATTGACAAGAATATTGAGATTTATGTTTAGATAACTGTTATAAAATAATTAAAATATTTTTCTCATTACTGAACAAAGAATTATTTCACTTACACGTATATATTATGTTAATCATAAATAATTATTATTAGAAGGGGGTTTTGTGGAGATTTTAGTAATTTTTATAGTTGAATTCATGAGTGAATTGAGACTAGACCACGATGGAAAACCTGGAAGTACTGGATGACCGTTTTGTCCTACTGTGGGACTCCTCAGCAGTGCATAATCCACGATCCCATACCGCGAGATTCGAGCCCCAGGACTTATCATTTTCACGCACGAACGCTTAACCTCTAGACCGTTGAGCCGGCATTCAACGATGTTAATGTCTAATTTCAACCAATCCACGACATTGAGCCACTGTCAACCATTGTCTTCAGCGAATTACTATCTCACAACAGACATGGTTGAACTTCACTGGTCGTTGCTTCTCACTAGAACGCCATTCAGTAGTGAACATATGACGATTATTATTAGAAGGGGGTTTTGTTGAGACTGATACGTCCTGGGTTCGAATCTCGTGCGGCGGGATCGTAAATGCGCACTGCCGAGGAGTCCCATACTAGAACGAAACAACTGCTCAGCGCTTTCATGGTAGTCTAGCTTCAATTAATTCATAAATTCAACCATAAATAATTAGTAATGTAATAAACTGAATTACTAAGTCTAGATTTCATTCCCCTGATCTTGAGACCTTCGATTAAATGTACAATATTGATAAACTAACAAAACTACTTGACGTTATTCAAATCAATAGCAAGATGGATTTCCCGAAAAGCAATAAGTAGATCATTAGACATAGGAAATCTGTAATCATAACATGGAGAGCTTAGTTACACGAAACATGATTAGTGGATAAGATAAACGGTGATAATGATCATAATAAAAAAGCAACAAATTAAAATGCTATGAGGATAAATAGTTGATGGAACTCTAGTTTTGAGAAGTCACTTGTTACTACAATGACAAAGTAATTTTGCTGAAATTTTATACAAAACAAATTCTGACCCAATGGTTTAATAGAAGATTGACTGTGACAATTTTGTGAAACTATTGGGTTTAAGGGGTTACAGATAATTTTGAGGCAGTTGTTCACTGGTTTTCCTAGTAAATATCAGATTATGCCAATCACACACTGAATTAAAGTAGAGTATCCGAAGTTTCTTCAGAATTTCTCTTAT